ACGTTGAAAATATGTTGCAGCTTCAACATTGTTTCAACGTTGAAATATCGACGAACATTCAACGTTGAAAATATGTTGCATCTTCAACGTTGTTTCAACGTTGAAAAAAGGTTGAGGATTCAACGTTGAAAATATGTTGCAGCCTCAACATTGTTTCAACGTTGAAATATCGACGAACATTCAACGTTGAAAATATGTTGCATCTTCAACGTTGTTTCAACGTTGAAAAAAGGTTGAGGATTCAACGTTGAAACTTCAACGTTGAAACAACGTTAAAAATATAGTTGCTCAACGTTGCAACCTATATTCCACCTCCTTTCAACGTTGAAACAAGGTTGCGTGCCTGCTGGGTAAGAATATCAATTTCTTTCTTAGTCTGTTTTTGTTTGTTTGGAAAAAAAAAGATTGATTGATTTTATGTTCTTAAACGTCCCATTTAAGAACTGCACACTGATCCAGCGGGTGAAGTGTTTGGAACTTAGACCTATCTTTGTCACTTACGGCAATTGAGCAGTGAAGGTTTTCTGTGGTGCCAATGCATACAATCACATTTTTATCGAAACTCTTTTTGATTTGAATCAAGCGGTATTATAGAGACAATATAATATGCAATTAATTCAGGTATGTTAACGTTGCTGCAATTTCGTAACAAACAAACAGGACATCTTCCACCATAAACTCACATTATTTAATAGGAAGTTATACTATCCGATCACCTCCAAATGGTGTTTATGTATCCCAAATAATTCGGTACGTGAGAGCATATTACGAGTACAATAAAATTCTAAACAATTAAAGGAAAGGCTAGTGTGTGTCTTCTTCTTTGTGTGCTGCTTAATGTCCCTCTTTTCACTCATATGGAGACGCCACAACTTGCCGATGGAGAACTGCAAATTCATAACTATTCTCTGCACTAAGGGGAAATTGAGCAGTGAGGAATCTCATACTGCATTACGGGATCACGGTTTAGATAATTTAATCTGAAGGATAAGCCTTCACGTTCTGCCTTGAACTTGAACATGCAATTTAAAGACCACCTCCTTTCCCAGCGCCTCTAGAGCAGAGCCATATGTGCAACAGACAGGATATTGACAAAGAAGTACCGTTAAGGTCCCCAACAAAATTATTTTTGGTGATAAAGAGTACACTCTTGATGAGGATGGCAATTTACTTACATCGGACAAATTCGCGTTATATTGAAAACGATGCGATTTTCTTTTACTGTAGACTTTGACACGTGATGTGTAAGTCATATGAATTTAGTTCATGTATTTTCATTATTGATCTCAATTATATATACAACATATTAATTGTTTTGCTAAACATTCCCATAAGGGAGTTAAAGGGTTTATCCCTAAGTATTTTTTGCAAAAACCTCGGAAACGAAAAGGAATCCCTATATAGTTGTAGAAGAAAAAGAACTAGTTTTCAAAATACAGAAATCTTCAAGGTAAAATCAAGAAAAAGAGACTGCGAACTCATTTTAGGGGCCGACGGGAACAAAAGTCTTTTATTGGTATAACTCTTTAACAATCGATATATTGTTATACAATACTGAAGCAAAATTGTTTATCGCAGCAATCTACAAATATATATTTTGATTTTTATGCCATATATTACAAGAATAAGGGGTCACATGGGGCCAGAATGCTAAATCTATGACGCTGTATCGCTCGAGAGTCGGAAATATTTTGACAAGTAATATTGAACGAAAGATGTTCAAAACAATGTTCTGGATAATATACAAGCTTTTTATTATTGCTTAACGTTCCCATTATTGATTCTAGGGCTGGCCCTAAATTTTTCTTCTGCATATTTTTCGGGAATGTACGGAAGCCCAATGGTGTCACGTAGGAAAAATATTTTATGTGGCGGCAGCCAGATAATGATGTGGTGGCCACCACTTATTATTTGGCGGTCGCCACTTATATATCTGCCGGTCGCTTCATAATTTATCTGGCGGCCACCACATAAATTATTTTGCAAAAGGTGAGCATTATATATTTTATTGGGTTATGAAGATGGACGTTGACATAGCCGCTGCTTTGTATTTTCATATTGGGTTTACCTACAAAAAAATTTTGTGCTCTGGCAGTAAAACATCGAATTGTTATTAGTTTAAGAACTCTAAAACGAGTGTTATGTCGACAAAATCTTTTTGTCGCAAAACTTGCACTGATATCATTGATGTCGCCATTTTTATTTACACACAACGTTTTATTTACACACAACTATTTTGTAGAAACTACAGCGTACTCCAAGCGTGCTTCCTGAAATCTCACGTTAAAACAAGTGCGTGCATCAGGAAGCCAGGTGTTATCTGGCGGGCGCCAGATAAATTATTTGGCGGCCGCCAAATATTATGTAGCGGCCGCTAGATAAATATATGGCGGCTGCGAGATATTATGTAGCGGCCGCCAGATGATTATGTGGCGGCCGCCAGATAAAATATTTTTATCAACATCGGGCTTCTGTAGGAATGAAAAGTAATTTCTGAATAATTGTTCAAAAAGTATTAAAAAGCACGAGAGCTTTAAGATAATATTAAGAAAAAAAGAATTGACCACTCATCTGAGGGGCTAAGAGTGCTAAGGTCTAATTTATAAGTGTTTAATATTAAATATTTTTAGAAACCTTATTCAGACAAAATCGTTCTACTTTACAATTTTTATCATTATTTTGAATGAAGATCTCAAATAAATTCTAATCTCATCTCATCTAAACTGTCGGGAGATCTTCTCGTTGATATCAAGGATAATAGAGGACATGCTGTCGTATTGCACCTGGGTCAGGATATTTTTTGGTATTACCTAGTATGGAAGCTCGGTAGGGGGTCAAAATTCAGGATACGAATCATGAGTGATTTTTTTTAGATGTTTGCATCATATCTTTTAAAATATAAATATTTTGTTAATACATACAATATTTTTTTTTCCTCAAATTTATTCTTTTAACTTTGTTACATGCATAATTGTTGGTCTTTGTTCTATAGGGTGGACACGATTTGGAGACTCAGAATATTGGTTAGGAAAGCAGAAAGTGAAATGGACGACTGCAAGCGTAAGATGCTCTTAAATTCTCTGGTGTAAACTGTTGAACTTGGCATCTTTTATGGTTCCAAAATCTGAATTATCAGCTACAAAATACACTACATCCTTTCCCTTTTACAATGCTATTGGAGTTGTTCTTGCATTTGAGAAACCCCAACCCTCGTTATACAAACTGCCATACTGGGACAGCAGTTTTTTAAAAACACTTCTTGTTCAAAACTCAAAGCTCCATTTCAGTTAAATAATCATCTACATGTACATAATTTTTCATTTAAAAAAAAAGAAATAGTTTACAATGAATGATATCGTAAAGTTTATGACATAAGGGTGATATAAAGGTGATATTGTGTTTCGTATAGATATGTGCAGAAAATTAGGAAACACAAAACCTTCCTTCAGAATAACAATGTCTGAGAATGATTGATAATAATTGATATATGATCAGTTCAAAGAAAAAAAGCAGATACTTGTTACTGGGGGTCATCTCTACTAGATAATATAAAAATTTCATTTTCTCCCAATTTGGGCCAAAATTGTTGTTTACACCATGGCAAGAGGTAAACGATGTGAATTTGGCCTCACTAAATAGGACTTAACCAATTATTGAAAAGAAAAAACACCTTTTAGAAAATCGAACTGTTTATTGATACTTTTATTAACGTTAGAGAAAATGGAAGGGATGTCATGATTGGAAGCTGCCAAAAGGGTTAAGATTTCTTTAAAGAAAGCACTGACCCCTTTTTAACATCTGGAAGGTCAGACTCTCATTATCAGCCAACCAAGCTCTGCTACCACTTGTAAACTCTCCCTATGTTCCGTGATAAAAACCGTGATCTGCGGCTGGTACGCTGCCTCTCTTCACTCTTGTCTTCGAGGGTGGTCCCACAAAACGCAAACATTTTCAATATCATCTTTTGTTTCACTAAGACTATAAAGTTATAAATTGGCATACCTCATAATCAACATTTTTTAAAAGAAGGATAATAATGCATAGAAATTTCAATGAAAGTTTGCTATAAATACAATTTTCCTCTCAAGTAAAGGAATCTAAAAAAAAATCAGCTGTAAGCGCAACACTGACGACGTCGTAGCCCGTTGTGCTTGTGAATTTGATCTGTAAACTGTGCCTCTAAAGATCCATTTGAACATAAATTCGGTATTGAAATTTATTTTGATTATCAAGTTCAAGTTATACTTCCTGAATACTGATGTTACCAAAACATGCTAAAGATTGCGAAGCTCTTTCTATTAATACTACTAGACAATTTCACAATCTCGATCATAAAGTCAACTGATCAAATTATTTATCATCGTTCTTTACGAAGGCCTATGACGTCTCACTCCTGTCTCTTCAGTTCTTCTTCATTTTAGCGGTTTATTGTCTTTTATCATATAACCAGTCAAACCAACATAAAATCCCTTCAACTTTCCTGTTAATTTGGTGCTCTGTATAATGTCTAATTTAAAGTGATTTGGCGCATTTCAACTTATACATGTATTTGTCATTAATGATGTCAAAGAAATGAATTTTTAAACACGAGTACACCAAATTATAAAGTGACATTTGTGAAATTATATTTCCGTTTAACCTGATGACTAAGAAAATTTCATTGAAAATGTTATTTCTACAAGTAAAAAAAAGAGTCGTACGCCGACCACTGATATCTAACACACTTTAAAGACAGATGATACAAGCAATTTTATTAGGAATTGTATTAGGAAATGCAAAATGGTAAAAATCAGCTCATGTGATATTACTGCTTTTTTGTCATTTCGTTTTTCCTTATAAAATTCAACTGGCTTGGTATATTTTTCGAAAGTTTATAAAACACCAAGGTAACATCTGAAATTTGTTTTCACCTGTAAACCTTTACTGAGTGTGATTTGTCTATATTCATTTTTTTTTATTTTGAAACATAACCAATATTCTCAAGTCTATTTAATTTTCCAGTTCTTAGGAGAAAAAAACTCTAAGAATTATCCATTTTTTCTAAACTTGTTACATGATACTAAATCTCCTCCAAAGAAAAAAAAACTGTTTGTTTCATCTCTCCTAAGTGCTGCTTTTACATGTAAATATATGCATATAGCATCACCCGCACAGTTCTATAATATTTTGTCAAAACAGCAGAAGGTCATTTTCCAACTGCAGGAAAAAAGTAAAAGTTATGGAAGAATAGTATTTTTATATGTTATAAAGGTTCGCATTTTTCTGGGACAAACCTCATATGAATTCATATTGTCGACGATTAATGTACAGATAGACAGTTTATTCTAGATCTAGAGCATGAATACAGATTAAACACGGGGTACTGTGAGCGATGTGCTCAATGTGTTAATTAGTTGTCGCGTGGTGTAAGGTAAATAATTACATGTACTAAGACATTAAAACTCTTTTATATACTAGTATTTGATATAGAAGTCCTTAGCGTGTTCTAAATCTTATTATTATGATCATTATTCTTGAAGATTAAAATATTAACTTTACGTTTTATATCAACGTATCCTCATGTTACATGTACAATGTTTACATTAACAAAACAAGTTAAAACTCGCACATTTATCTCATATTCCTAAACTATGTATAAAAGAATCCCTAACTAACATATTTATTTCCTTTTATATTTTTCGAATCATTTTCTATTCTCTAACTACGTAATATATTTTTTTGATTTTATAGGAAGAATGCAAAATGATTGGAGGAAAACTTGTTGAAATGGAGTCTTCAAGCGAGAATAACTTCGTTCGCATGCTTGCTCAAAATTTAACAGGTTAGTAAAAAATGTAGATTTGATAAGTGAATTATACGAAATAAGTATTATGACCATGGTCGTTCAACAAATAAGCAAACACACAGAGCGTTAACATAATAGTGTAGTGATTGTTTTTCCAATATTATAAGTGTTTGGCTAGGCCTAAATTGTTGTAATTTTTTGACAATATCTTTCAAAATAAAAAAAAACCTGCAAGTATTTGTCAAGATGCTTTTAAAGTTTTTAGGTGTCTTTTTAATTATATGTTTTTATTTCATTTACTCTCAAGAGTTTTTTAATTGTTATTTCCGGTAATGTGAGTGTATGTGTGTAGCTTGTTGCTCGTCTACTCTAACGGTGTATTTCTATTTTCCATCAAAGAGAGTGTTTGGTTAGGCGCCACAGATCGTGAGGTCGAGGGGCAATGGCGATGGGCAGACAACAACTCTCTGCTGACATTTAGCGACTGGGACGTCTTGCACAACCAACCAAACAACTACAATAACCAGGACTGTCTGTCTCTCTACCTCCCCTACGGTCTTACTTGGTGTGACGAATCCTGTGACAACAGAGATTACCAGTACATCTGTGAGAGAGATGCTGTGTAACTGTTGTTTTAGGCTTTCTTTATATTTCATGATTTTTATCATTACAATATTTGTGTGATACATTATTGAGATTCGCACTATAGTCTGACTGTCCCAAGACAAAATGATGCAAATGAATCGGTTCTATGAATCTTTTCGTAAATTATATATTTTTTGTTGGACTTTGTACTAGCAGCTCACAAGAGCTAAACGAGAATAAAAATATTCTAGATGCATCATGTTATCGCAGGTCCTTATAAATTGTTATTCTTATATATTTCTTTTTATGCCTCCCCCCCCCCGCTAATCGGTAGGTCTGACCATTCGTCTGTGTGTACGTCTGACTGTATGTCCCTCCGTCAGTCTGTCTGTAACGCTTTGGGGTACCCATCTCTTATCTGCGACTCCTCTCATACCAATAATTGAACTTTGATAAAACTTTCACAGAATCTTTATTACATATTGCCATTGTGCACCTTATATTTTATTTTGTGGTCTGCCACATATTTTGGGTTTCGCACAACAAAATTGGACACTCCAATTATATTCAAATGGGAGGCTGGGTATCGTTTAGTGAGCTCATTGCTCACATTACCCCAAGTTTAATCTTTATTCATGCTCTAGAATAAGCTAAGTAAATACATTAGACGGAGTGAGGCCAAATGATATGCTGCGTGTGGTACAACATTAATAAGATGATAAAGTGAAATACAGTAGGGTCTAATACAGGAAGAGAAGTCTGCCCTGAAAGATGAGAAGTACAGTTAACGATGAACCAAATTTTTGAAAGTCGATTTATTTACTTGCCTGCTTATACTAGTGATAGCTATTTACATGTATCATAATCACAATAAACTCATAAAGTATATCAGCATATGATGCCACAATCTCTTTCATTAAGGTAGTTAATAGTACGTTCAGAATTGTCTATCAAACTGATATTTCTTTATTTAGATATTTTAGATAAGTCATACTCTTACTAAAAAACCAGTGAAAATATATCTTTGGAGGTTATAAATTGTCATAAAGTATGTCTTATGGTACATACTTCTCAAAGTTTAACAGCCCTCTCTATAATTTTTCACTCATATGTAGACGTCACAGTATGCCTGTGAAGGACATCAAAGTTAGACCTACATGTATACTAGCAAAGAACTCAGGGCAATTGAGCAAGAGGTTTCCTTTATCTTGTAAACGCCTACTGCGACTATAGCCACTTTGTGCCCTATCTGGCCCTGAAAATCTCAAGTACATATTAATTACGACGAAATTGTCCCTATAGTCAATGCATTTTAACTTTATAAAATGCGTCATTTTCCTCATATCTTGTAAATTTCTTTGAAAATGGCCTAAAGGTTAAGGGTTTTTTTTCAATATTTCATATAGAGCACGACCTCTGATCCAATATTTACAAATATGCTAATACATAATGTAAGATCTGTTACTGAATATAAAAAGCAAGTTTAATTTTTTTAATCCTTAGATGTGCTCGTATTTAAATTCTCTGCTGAAGGTAGTTAAATACAAAAGTTTTCTGCAAATTTCAATAACATTGCTATTTCTCAAAGCTAACAATATATAGATTCCCAAAAAGAAAAGAGAAAATTTACAAAAGTTAAAAAACAAGATGTGTTTGTGAAACACTTTGCGCCCGGCGGCAACAAAGATAGAAAAACAACATTTTTAGCATAAAGGTCTAAGTCAAAGTCACAAGGTCATTGATTCTGGTGTAACTTGAAAGAAATTGATTAGTGAAGTATGCATACAAAGAAGTTTCTATCTCTCATGGTTCAAAAAAGCCATTTTTAGCATATAGGACACAGTTCAGGTGACAAGATCATTGACCTTAATGTCATGTAAAAAGTCTTAATTAGTGGAGAATACACGCCAAATACTTAGTCTCTATCTTTTTTCGATCAAAAGTTATGGCGAAGGTTAAAGTTTGCCAACAAAAAAACCATAGTGAGCATATAAGTCACAGTCAAGGTCACATATGTCCTCTCACTTTTCAAGCTGGGGTTGTAATATTGTATGCAAGTAAAGTAATATCTATATATGCTAGTAAAAGTGGCATGCACGTATTAAAATAAATCTTATAACGATGCTGGCTCCTGAGCTTTTGATCGGATTTTTATCTTTACATATATTTAAAAAAAAATTTACATAATGTTTCAATAATTACCATAAATTCAAATTCTACAATGCCAATTTAACTATGATCAGTTAATATTCCATGACTACATTCCATACCAAACGCATAATGTGTTGAACTATATTTTCTTTTTCGAAGTATGCTAATTTAAGAATCCAATTTTACTTGTAGACTGTCCATAGAGTGTTTTGTGCTGATGTGGACTATTCTATACTGGTCCTAAGTTATCTCTTAGATAAACTTCCACGACTTCTCTTATCATATTTTATAAATATACAGCACATGTATTGTAAAAATGAAGACAAAATAGCCCTTATTTAAAATTAATGTAGTTAATTAATGCAGAGTCATTTAAAAATGCGACTCCTTTTTAATCTAAATAGACATTTCAGACTTTGTGACAACGAATCGCATGTGAAAGTCTGAGCCTATCTGGCCAAAGTCTTTATATCCATAAAAATGTCGAAGATGTAATACAGAAAGGGTAGGGCAGAAGAACAACTTTTACGTGGTCGGGCATGTGATTTCTAAATACCTTTTCATTAATTTCATAGTTCCAGGTAGGTTTTGTTTAATTTCAAATTCTACTTCATCACTGTCCAGTTCATCACATGAGATTTTAACAAGCGAGAAGTAGCGTTACATGACACTGACGCATGAGGCTTTTGATAAATGATTAATAATGGATCCGTACGTGATCCTTATTCATTTGTCATGTCAATGTTCTTTCTCAAATGTTAGACTATACACAAAGTCCTGTTCTCATAAGCCGGCTATACGATTGCATTCAAATGAAACCTAGGCCTGCTTTGATTAGGTAAAGATTCAACTCTAAATTTTATATAATAATCCGTCAATTTGAGATTTTTTATTGATAACGACTTAAGGCTTTGTAACCTTTGTCCAGATAATAAAGCTAAAAGCATTATTGTCTTTAGTGTTAACAACGTCAGACACATATCATCAAAAGCAATTGTTTTTTATTCAGTTGAACACTGCTGAAACATCCCAGATTTCTTAATATCTTGAAAAGGTTGGTTTCTTGATAAAAAAAATTCTTAATGACATTGATTTTCAAATATTGATCGAAACAAGATTGTTAATCATACGGATATAGTATATTGCCGATATGAATAAATAAATAAGAGAGGCATATCCAAGTGATGCTTGGATATAAAAACGACCATTAAATGTTTCAATAGATCGCGGTAGTATTAGGGCTTCTCGGAGCTTTAAATTCGTTCAAAACATTCAAAACATTCCATTGCAAAGGCGATTTTAAGTTTTATATTGTAGGTTATGTTATGTATTTAAATAGGGCCAAATCATATAGAGAGTTCTCTGGGGTATACATAAATGTATTTGTTACGATATCACGATAAACTCGTTAATCACGTGATATTTAAGTAAACTATCCAAATATCAAAGCATCACTTGTATTTGCCTCACCTAATTTGGCAACGCCAACATTTACATTAATGCAATCAAAATAACCCTTTACTTAAAGAAAATTATCTTCACCGGATTTTTATAGCCACAATACACTGATATGATTGTTGATTTTAGTTCCAGCTCCAAATTAGATTAAACACTTAGAATAGGGACTTTGTATTCGTAATTAACAGACACATTAAACTTATACATCTTCTGCTCTAAATTTTATATATCATATTTTGTATTTCATTTTGTTAATTGTTATACTTTTTAAAAAAAATTACTTTGCCCTTTGAAGTTTTTGTTTTCTTTTATCAAGGTATAGGATTGATGGTTTTTTAAGGATTAGAATCTTGTCTCAGCACATTTCTTTCCCTTTGGAATAATACTGTTAGCAAGGGTCTCGTCCATATTTTGTTCGTCTTCTCATTAGCTAAAGTATCACAACCCCATTATGATAGATGGTAAATGATTATAGGTTTTGAAGAATCTGACACACCAAAACTGATATTTTCCCAGAGTTTTCATGTAAGAACTGAAAAAAATTTGATTAAAAAAAAAATTCTGTCATGTCAAATTTCAAACTGTGTACTAGGCTTCTATTACAGTGTACTTGTAACAAAATTCCCCATACCTTATGTACATAAGGGAGCAGTTTTAAAATACACTCAAAGAAATAAAAAAGGAAGGCAAACAGTGTAGATTGACGTTAACTTTAAGTTGTTAACATGGAAACTAAAATCTCTAAGGGATTTTATAAGAAAATTATCTTTTTTTTTTCAACATGCGTTAACAAACATTTATAATAGCACCTTTACATAGATCACTTATGGATAATCTTTATAGGAAATTTGATTTTTTTTATCTCATATTTTGAAAAAGAAATTAAAACTGCTCCGTAGATGTTCCAATAATTTTTACATGAATATGCATGTCTCGAATGGAATCATGCAAATATATTTAAAACTGAATTTTATTTTGTCCGTTTCTTTCAAGAAAAAGTTATACAAAATAGCTGACACAGAGCTTTGCTTTTCAAAATTAATGATATCGATAATATTTATTTCTTAATTTGAAGTAAAAACTATCAATTTGCTATTGATATTACTTTCATAAAGCATTTAATCCCCTGAAAAGAAAAGCGAAAAGTATCTGAAGATTTCTCAAAAGTAGATAAAAATTATATATCCATTTTCTCCGTGAATAATTTCACTACGATCTTTCTTTATCAAGAATGAAGGACATCATATAAGATGAACAAACTGCCATCAAATTCATACGTGTAATAGAAATGGAATTTGTAGATAAGTTATATGTAAAACACGCATTTAAACATTAATAGTATTAAAGGGCCTTTTCTTAAGGACATCACTTTAATTAATGAAAATGTTATGAAGGACGATGTTATGAATAGAATTTTATAGCATCAAATAGAGC